GTTATATGACGGCAATCAGGAATTGACCGAGTACTGGTATGATAAAACTTCTGGAGAAAACGTCTTCACTCAGTTCTCTGAACCCACCCTTCTGGGCACTTGGGATGCACGTCCCTCCCTCCCTCCGGTCAGTGTTCTTACCCTGCTGACTTTCAAACTCTCCCACTCACCTCCGCTGGCCTGTAGAGAAACCCTTGAGTGTGACACAAGTGTAGTGAGCACACTCCTAGGTTTCTCTTGGCAACTGAGACTTTCAGTGCAATCTTGGCTTTGGTTCTATTTTGGTAGTTACTTCCCAGGTGGACATTCTTTCTTCTATCCTATTTTCTAACATTCTTCCCATCTTTCTGAATCAAAATCTCATTTGGACAATTTAAAGGAAAAATTGTAATGTGTAGGCTGTCTCTGGCCAACACAAATATCATGCATCCTACTGCTAGCCTTACACTTCTTCTTTCCTACTCTTCCCACAGGATCCTTATCATGTGCAAGAAGATTCTTTCCCAGGCTCAGCACTAACCTCTTCTCACCAGGCAGGGTTTTTATCCTCCTTCCACAGTAGAAACTTATCTGAGGTCCTGGAATAACTGACCCGGTTTTAATACGGTGAGGGACAGCACTGTGCTGTCCTAACTGAAACACTGCCTCTGGAAGAAGATGAAATTTACAAGTCTCAGGGAACTCCTGGAAGTTACAAGATTCACAGGGCCCTGTGCCAAGGTTATAGCAGAAGTAACAAGTGCTGGGGAGAAAAGACTCCCCAAGTAGCTGGGCTGTCACTAAGCTGTACAGGAACTCCGGGAACACAGCTCTTCAGGTATCACAAGCCGAGGGGAACTTTCTCACAACTCAGCTGCCTTTGAGCCCACCATTCTCCTGCAAGTAACCTCCATAAACCCACCGGTTCATTAAGCTAGACTGGGTGGATTTGTTCCTCTGGTCTGTCCTAGGTGCCCTGTCTGGGCTGAATAGACATCAGTTCATACTTTCCCGAGAAATGTGACACAAATAATTCCAAATATAAATTCCCCTATAGTATCTAACCAAGAAAGTGGAAGAGTTGTATGAAAATAACTTTAAGACATTGAAAAAAGAAACTGAAGAAGATGTATCAGAAGATGGAAAGCTCTCCCATAACTACTGATGAGTAGGATTAACATAATAAAAATGGCCATCCTACCAAAAGCATCTACAGATTCAATGCAACTCCCCCACAAAATTCCAATACAATTCTTCACAGATCTTGAAAGGACAAATTTTCAGCTTCATATAGAAATACAAAAAACAAAACAAAACAACAACAACAACAACAAAAACCCATGAGATCTAAAACAATCCTAAATAATAAAAGAACTGCTGGAGGTATCATCATCCCCAATGTCAAATTGTACTACAGAGCTATAGTAATAAAAACATCATGGTATTGGCACAAAAACAGACACACTGATCAGTGGAATCAAATCAAAGACCCAGACATAAATTTACACATCTATGGACATCTGATTTTGACAAAGGCTTCAGAAATACATACTGGAAAAAAGTTCGCATCTTTAACAAGTGGTGTTGGTCAAACTATATGAGTGAAGGCTTATAAGGCCAAATGAGCTGGTTACTCATGGTTTACATGACCTTTCCTGGGAGGGGTCTATTTGCATTCAATAGAGAAGACAATGTCAGGCCACAGTCACAACACCATCCACCCAGGTACAGTTTGGTGAACCAATGTGTTTACTGGGGATCACTTACAGGAGCATAGGTGACCCAAAGGCCTAGACACAAAGGTCAGGTAAGCATGGATGATGACTCACGAAAACTGCATCCCCAACTTCTATTGCACAGGGAACATGCAATCATTCCCTGCCAGTTTCCTGAGGTGGATCCAATGAGAAATATTCCATTTGCGGCACTGTTTGGGGGTCTCAGCTGACGTGGCCTTGCTGGAGGAAGATGTCACTGCAGGCAGGTTTTGAGAGCTCAAGGCCCTGTCTCTTTGCTTTATGCTTGTTGACAAGATGCAAACTCTGAGCCTGGTGCTACAGCTGTCGTGCCTGGTGCTAGCTGCCATGCTCTGCCATCATGGACACTCATCTCTCTGGAACCCTAAGCACAGATAAACTCTTCCTTCCTTCTCTAGCTTGCTCATGGTGTTTTATCAGAGCAATAGAAAGTAACATATATGTCCTTTAAGAATATCCCCGCCAACACTTGCTTTACATATCAAACCACAGACTTAGGCCAATTCAGTTTCAGAATAAAATAGTGTGTTAGATTAATTACATCTTGTAGCATAGCAATCTTCAGGCAACTAGGCAGAATGCTAGATTTCAAACAACGACACTGCATTCTCTTTAAACTCCTCCGCTGTCCATTTAAGTCCACCTGATCTAACCACTGCCTGCACAGGTCTTTGGGACGCCATGTTGTTTCACAAAGTTACTTCACCCTGCCCCTTAATGTGCTTCCCATTTTGGTACACAAGAAGAGCATGGATGTGGTTGCAAATACGCAGTTTAAGCATCAAATCTGTTACCCTCTCCTGAGATTACTGACCCCATTCTCTCCTTTCCCTCACAGCTCATCACAGGAATAATATTCTCTTACATTATCTGCGGCACTTATTTAAAATATAAGTATTAGGAGCATGGATGGTATCTAATTTTTATATTCTAACACAAACAGTACTTAAATAAGGAAGACATCATTTAAAATAAACAAATTACTAACTTTTCTTAGCATTTCTACTGAGCTTGAGGCAAGTACTTCTAGAAGTCCACTGGACATCTTCAACCATTTATCCCACAAGTACCAGACATTCAAAATGTCTACATAAAGGGCCATTCTTTTTTCTAGAAAGCAATTTCTTTATCTGAATTTGCTACCTCTGACTAATGGTATAATGATCTATCTTATGATACAAATTAGAAACCTCAACTTCTCAACTACTGGTCTATCCATCCTTCAAGCAACCCTGCTACAGTTACCAGCTATTCTGATAAAAATAGGGTTGATAAACATCATGAGCCTGTGTGAATGATGTGCTCCACGGCTTACTCTATTGAGAGTAAGTGACATTCCAATCAGCAGACAACATGAACCTCAGGGATCTACAACACTGAGGACTATCCCTTAGGCAATGGGCAATTCCCTTCCATAATACAAGGCCAAAGGTCTCATGGCTTCAGTCTCTCTTCAAGTGAGACTTCTGATATAAGTACAAATGCCTCCTCCATACTTTGTGCAGAGAAGCCCAGAGTCAATTCACAGTCCATCGCCTTCAGGAGAGCCTACAGCACTCTTTCTCCCTTCAATGCCAGAAGGCTGTTCCCACGCTGACTGAACTCTATGCTACCTTATGCTACCTTATCTATATAATAATCTGACAGCTTCTCCTAGTCTCTGCCCCCTCTAAAGGCTGATGGCATCTTTATTATGTGTTTTGCTCTGAAATATAGATTCACCAAGTGAATTGTTGATCCTGATTTGAAACATCTCACACTAACTCTAGTATCTAAAACACATATGAAGACCCTCACTAAATCTTCACTTATATTACTTTAAAAGGAACTAGCTGCTGTTAAACACTTTAGATAATGGAAGTTATTACAAAGAAAATATATTTATTTGTTAAATATGGGAATTGCTATTGGGAAGAATGTAAAAAGGAATCTTTCAGAAATTCAAATCTATTCTGTCACTTGATACATGCTTTACAGCCCTCAATCCCAGTGCCATCTCATCTGTAAAATGGGATTACTAATATCACTTCATATCCTTTCCATGATGGAGCAGAGATAATGCATTTATAGGAGTTTCAGTATCTGAACCAACTAAGCAGGTATACTGGCTGGTTCTGTGTGTCAACTTGACACAAGCTGGAGTCATCAGAGAGGAAGGAGCCTCAGTTGAGGAAATGCCTCCATGAGATCCAGCTGTAAGGCATTTTCTTAATTAGTGATCGGTGGGGGAGAGCTCAGCCCATGATGGGTGGTGCCATCTGTGGGATAGTGGTTCTGGGTTCTATAAGAAAGCAGGCTGCCCAAGCCAGGGGAAGCAAGCCAGTAAGCAGCATCCCTCCATGGCCTCTGTATCAGCTCCCGCCTCCAGGTTCCAGCTCTGCTTGAGTTCCTGTTCTGACTTCCTCCAATGATGGATTACAATGCTGAAGAGTAAGCCAAATAAGGACATTCCTCCCCAACTTGCTTTTGGTCAGTGTTTTGTCACAGCAACAGTAACCCTAACTAAGACAGAAGGGCTCCCATGGGCTCACAGAAACTGGAGTGGTAAGCACGGGGCCTGCATGGTCTGCACCAGGTCCTCTGCAGACATGTCATGGCTGTTAGCTTGGTGTTTCTGTGGGACTCCTAACAGTGGGAGCGGGTTATCTTTGAATCTTACGCCTGCTCTTGAGACTTTTTTCCACCTATTGGGTTGCATCACCAGCCTTGATAATAGGGCTTTTGCTTTGCTTCATTGTATCTTGTTTTGTTGTGTTTGGAGGAAAACGGTGGGGGAGTGGATCTGGGAGAGTCGGAGCTGGGAGGAGTGGAAGGAGGGAAACTGTGGTCAGAGTGTATAATATGAGAGGAGAGTCTATTTTCAATAATGAAAAAAAAGACATCTCAGTGTTTAAGTAAATATACAGAACTGCATAGTAGCAAGAATTAATTTCTCATGGGAAGTTTCAGTGGAATAAGTTTTTTCTTACTCTAGACCATAAGGTTCATCCTGTAAAGTACAGAAAAACAAGGTGGCCCATTTAATGATGAAAAGGGCTTCGTTAGAGACTTAAATGTGACCCTCACTTGCACCTCAGGCTAAAACATCTGCCTGTGATTCTGCTCTGTATATATCCATCTCCAAAAGGATTTAAGTGAGAGAGGCTATGGGCTCTAGCATTAGCAAATTTGAAAATTTCTCTTAAATGAAGATTACGAGAACTCTGACATTATTTTTGAATGTCCGTAGGAATATGTAGCATGGCTATGTAAAATTCCACTTACGTTCCTCTGGCTTCATTTCAGTTATTTTTTGTAGCCAGTTTTTCCATGTTTGGCAGTCACAAGGCTCATGTGCTTCACCAAGGCACTCCCTAAAAAAACAAAACAAAAAAGCCATCAAAAAATAGTCCTCATCACTATCTGGATAAAAATACATGGATGGTAAATATTAATCCAATTTGAAAATTGAAAAAATTAAGGTACAAATGATATATGAAGCATTTCAAAAGTGGATTTGAAAATGAGATTCCAAAGCTAGACAACTTTAGTCCAATTTTTAAAAATCAGTATGGTCGAACATTTTAAAAGTCCCACATAGATTATTTAGTATACAACTGAGTTTTGCAGTTTTCAGAGCTATAAAACAACTATTAACTGCTTTTAGCCTCATGTAGACTTCTAACTCTTGATCCCAGGTGTGTTCTTTGTTACCAGCACCGCATGCTCTTAGAGGTACATTAGAGCAGGCCCGACTACACCACCCCATCACCCTCCTTCATTTTAGAGTCGTGTGATCTACCCGTGTCCACTCACTGCAGCCCCAGGGCTGGGCTTACAGACACCTGCTACCAGGTCTGGCTTTTATGTGGGCATCGGGGATCCAAGCTCAGGTTCTCACGCTTGCTCAGCAAGCACGGAATCCACACAGCTGTCTCCCTAGCACTGCAAATCTTATTTGTACTGTCACATCTACCTCCAAAGCCTCTGGTAACTGCCTTGCAAGCAACCAACAGTTATTTTTACCGGGATCTTGGAAATCAGATATAAATAACTGAAAATAACAATTTATCATTTGTAATTCAATTAAACATTCTTTCTATGAATATATTAGAGCACAAATATTAAGAAAGAGTCTAAACCCTTTAAAAAAAATCACTCATTTTGATTCAACATGGTGCACATTGTGTACCATGTGTCACTAGGGAGAGAAACTCCAAAAGCTGGACATATTAACACCATTGTTACTACCTTCTTAAATGAACATTTTTATTTATAAAGGTTAAATTTGTTCAATGTCATCATGAAATCTGCAGGCAATTGGATGAAACTAGAAAGTATCATCCTGAATGAGGTAACCTAGACTCAGAAAGACAAACATGGTGTGTACTTACTCATAAGTAGATACTAGATTTAAAGCAAAGGATAATTAGACTACATACAACCCACAATTCCAGAGAAGCTAGGAAACAAGGAGGACCCTAACAGGGACGCATGGATCGCCCTGGGAAGGGGAAATAGATGACATCTCCTAAGTAAACTAGGGATGTGGGGGGGCAATGGAGGGTAGGGGATGGGGGAATGGGGACATAAGGGGAAGGGATGGTCGAGATGGAACAGGGATGGAGTGGGAGAGCAATGAAAAAAGTATCTTGATAGAGGGAGATATCATGAGGATAGGGAGAAACCTGGTGCTAGGGAAGTTCCCAGGAATCCATAAGGATGACCCCAGCTTAGACTATTAGCAATAGTGGAGAGGGTGCCTGAGCTGGCCCACCCCAGTAATCAGATCAGTGAATATCCTAACTGTCATCATAGAGCCTCCATCAGTAACTGATGGAAGGAGATGCAGAGGTCCACAGGCAAACACCAGGCCGAGCTCCGGGAGTTCAGTCAAAGAGAGGGAAGAGGGATTCTATGAGCAAGGACAGTCAAGATCATAATGGTGAAATCTACAGAGACAACCAAACCAAACTAGTGGGAGCTCATGAAATTGAGATCAACAGCTGTGGATCCTGCATGGGACTGGACCAGGTCCTCTGCATAATTGAGACAGTTGCGTAGCTTGATCTGCTTAAGGTGACCCTGGCAGTGGGATCAGAATCTATTCCTGGTGCATGAACAGGCTTTTTGGAGCCCATTACTTATGGTGGGACACCGTGCACAGCCTTGATGCAGGGGGAGGGGCTTGGACCTGCCTCAGCTGAATGTACAAGGCTTTGCTGACTCCCCATGGGAGGTCTTGCCTTTTTAAAGGAGAGAATGGGGGATGAGATTGGGGGGGGGGAGACTGGGAGCAGGAGGAGGGATGAGAGGCATATGTAGTTGGTATGTAAAATGAATAAAAAATTTCTTAATAAAGATAAAAAATTAAAAAAAAACTAAAAAAAGGTTGTTTGTTAAGACATATCAACTGACCTAGATAAAGCCTTACAAACTAAGAGATAATATTTCACTATATTAAAAATGTACTGATAATGATTTTACTTCATACTCATTAGCATAATTAGTACTGAAAACTAGAAATAACAAGTATTGGTGAGGACTTAAAAAAGTGGAACCCCTGGGCACTGTGATAGACAGTGTGCTAATACTAATGCTAATACTGATGTAGCTGCCTGGAGAACAGCTTGGTGATTTTCTCCAGGGTGAAACAGGACTACCATCGAACTCAGCAACTTCAGGCTCAGGGATTGCATTATTACTGTTTCTTCACTGTGACAAAGTAACACCATGACAGAAGCAGCTGGGGGGGGGCAGGCTCACTTCGGGGTTAAGCAGGGGACTCATCATCTTGGTGGGGAAGGCATGGGGCTGGGGTCCCACCTATGACACAGCAGCAACCCACTTCCTCAGGCTTGGACCCACGTCTCAGATGCTCCATTGTCCTGAAACAGTGCGTCAGCTCGGGACCAAGGGCTCAAACACACGCCCTTCATTTGTTAAGGGAAATAAACAGATACAAGGGATAAAACCTGTAGGATTTCACTGCTATTACATGGAGAGAAGGCTGACTTACAGAGAAAGAAAAGGAAACAACAGTAACCAAGGATGTTGGGGAGAGGAAGAGGAGAACTGCTGCTACCTAGTCAGTCACACGGCCTCTGGGGATCGCGAGAAAGGTAAGAGGTGGTAGGTGCACTTGACAGACACTCAAAAACCCTAGGTTGTGTAGAAACAGAAGTGCATGTGTTACATGCTGTACAGTGCAGACTCAGATCTGTGATAATGGCAGACTTTCACTAGGCACCTGTACTAGCACACACAAGTAAGGAGAACATACTATAACCATGGATAGAAACAGTGTCCCATCTCGTGCTTGAGAATTCATGTGGGAATGCAGAATCTACATTTCTCACCACTCATTAAAAAAAAAAAAAGCCTACTTGTTAGTAGGAAAAAAAATCCTAGGATGCAAAAAAAAAAAAAAAGTTATAAATTGTCAGCAACTAAAGGAAATGAGTGAAATTAACAAATATAAATTAGTTCCATTAAGTTTTTTTCACCTCTGGGTATTAAATAGCATATTCACTATCTTCTCCTAGAGGAATCAATACTATAGTATATTGGTCCTGTTGTCAGATTCTAAAAGAAAATGATGGAGCAAAAACCCAATGCTGTCAAACAGAATCTAAAAAGCCAAACAAGACTTCTTGAAAAGGCTGTAACTGCTTATCAAAGTGCACGGTTCCCTATGACCATGTGGCCTTAGACGGCAGCTGAAGGCCTTCCTTCCCAGAGTCTCACAGGACACAGGAGGTGGGCACAGTGTTCCTAGGAGCACTAAGAGTGGGTGTAAAGGAGACACTCCAGCAGGAGTCGACATGGCTGTTATTCAATGTTATCTTTGAGCACCAACTCATCCCAGAAGAGGTTTGGACTCCAAAGTATTGTAATAACGGCTACTAGATAGAGTAGCTGGGTGATAATCTAGATTTGCAGATGTAGTCCTGCTGATATCATAAAGCTAAATTCTTTAAGTTTTTTGTACTTCTGAAATGTAGTTTTGCTGTATAAGTACCTGGCTTCAAGCCTGTGATTCTCCTGTCTCAGCCTCCCAAGTTTACAAGGATGCACTACCACACCTCACTCCTAAAAAAAGTTTTAATTGGTTATTACTACCTGGTATCTATTGAAATTTTATCTCAAGATGTCCAAAGAACATGGTACAGAGGACAATCTTGGCTATTTATAAGTGGAATTGAAGAAAAACATGGCTGTCTAGAGTTTTCACCCCCAGATGCTGACCTAACATCAACAGAACAAGAACGGCCCTTTCTTGAAGATGTGTCAGGATGCGTAACTGTTGGCAGGAATAGAAAGTGGCCGAAAAAAGGAAAACCTTCTACTCCTTTCAAGCTTTATTACTTGAAAAAAATTCTATCAAGAAGTTAGATATTTAAGTTACATGTAATTATAGAACCTTAGTAATCACAAATCATAAGTGAATTAAGTAAGAATTGTCATTTTGATAGTTATTTGCTTTAGTTAGAGTTCTGAGTCTTGAAGGCTATGCTCTAAGTAACTACATGTATGCATATGTGTGTATGTGTGTGTGTAGGCCAGAGGTTGCCACTGGGTGTCTTCCTCTATCATTCTCCACTTCATCTACCTATCTATCATCTGTCTGTCTGTCTGTCTGTCTACCTACCTACTTACCTAGGCTCGCTCGCTCTATCTATCTATCTATCTATCTATCTATCTATCTATCTATCTATCTATCTATCTATGTATTTAGTTAGTTAGTTAGTTAGTTAGGTAGGTAGGTAGGTAGTTATTGAGGCAGGATCTCTCACTGAAGCAAGACTAGTTGGCTAGCAAGTCCCAGAATCTTCTTTCGTTGGCTTGCCAGTGCTGGTTAAAGGTGCACACCACCACTTTTGGCTTTTTATTTGGTGTTGGGTTTCTGAATATAGGTTCTCATGCTTGTGAAGCAAATACTTTGCCCAGGGAGCCATCTCTCTAGCCTCTGAACTCATTTTCCAAACAACTCTTTGGTATTGGTGTCACCTACCCCTTTCACAGGGGTCACCTAAGACCATCAGAAAACACATTATTTCCAATGGTCTTAGGAGAACCAGAGACAGTGCCTCTCTGTCTCCAGGTGGGTCCGCCCACATGCAGACACACTGGAGTACCTGGAACTGTATTAAAGGACTGCACATTAGGAAGGTTGAGAACCACTGTAATAGAGGATGCTTGTTTATCACTGAATCACACCGTGAGGCACTGGCAGAGTTAAGGCTCAAATGCAGACTCTTAGAATATCAATATGTACTTTACTGAAATTCAGTAAATTGAACTTTTAAGCAGTGTTTGAATATGTTGTTCTGTAAAAAGTATTTACAATATTTTAGCAATGGTTGAGAATAGC